TTTCATGTTTAGTAGTTGATTGATAATCTTATGATGGTCAATTTTATGTGCATAATGTTCAACAAATTTTGTCTTGAAAGATTCATATGTGCAACCTGGTGAATTGCGGTAGCATTGTGCTGCCCATACCCCAGCAGTACCGTATAATCTGTCGCACAAGAATGCTATTTTTTCTGCATCAGTGTCAAGTTGTCTCGTGTCCATCCTCATTCCCATATTTGTGATGAAAACGTGTAACTTAGCTGCATCCTCTGTTCCAGTGAACTTTTCTTCTGGGGGAATTGAACCTCCAATTTTTGTCTCGGAAAGTCTTGATTTAGTTGGTGTTGCCCTTGGCATGATTTTTTGATATTTTGATAACTATTCTCTGTGATAACCTAGTACCGTTTAGCGCTACCAGATGTTGTATGCCAAACCCTCTAGTGTGTGTCACCTTTCAGCTTAGAATACAACTTAATTTATTATTTCTAATTAGCAACCTTTATATATGGATAGCTAATATACATCTTAGTGATCTACCTACTGTATTTATATACCTTCATTATTGACTCACTTTCTTGACATGTAAGAGTCATTCTTTCTCAACCCGGACCTTGTTAGATTATCACATTCATGTTCCAACCTGTCACATTCACATTCCAACTTATCACATGCTAGTTCCGACTAATCACAATTGTGTCCTAATTCATTACGACAATTTTCAAGGATTAAAGCTCGTATGGCGCAGTGGTAGCGCAGCAGATTGCAAATCTGTTGGTCCTTAGTTCGATCCTGAGTGCGAGCTTTACTTTTAATTTTTTCTTTTTCCTATTTATTTTTTTCCAAAAAATTCATCAATTATGTCACTGTACTCCATTTCACTCTTCTCTACTCTATTCTCCTCCTTCATTTTTTTTTCTTTTAGGCTGCGTTCTCCACTGGACATTGTCAAAGAGTCTGTCCAATTACCTGCCTCTTAACGTTATCCTTTGACTCTTAAACAAAGATCAGTAATAGCAACTGGAACAATAACCATAATGATAAAACCAGTCCTGAACCGGAAAACAAAACAAAACAAACTGCAGCTGCAGCTGCAACAGGAGGTACAAATAGAAGAATTAGTAGACTATATCCGTCTGAAATATCAAAATTACAAAATACAAAAATGCCATCGATTTGTTGTATAATTTGCAGACAAATTTGCGTTCTAGTTGAAAACATTTGTCATAGGACATTTTTGTGATTCTACCTTATCAATTGTCCTGATAACCCTTGAACAGCTAGCTATGCATACTGCGACAACTTCTGGTCTGATACCGATTACTCTACCGATATCCCTTAACATAATTAAAAAATAACATACAACAATTATGTTAGCAATACTGAATACATTCAATCTATCCCATCCCATCTTATGCAAATTTGTCCTAATTTGTCCTAATTAGCCATTCAACTTCTCTTATCTATCTATCTCTACCCTTACAAAATATATATAAATATGTATTTACAAATTGATAAGATATCTTATCAATTATTGCAAACTTAGTAAATACTGTATATCAAGATCAAGTGTAATGGTTATTGACTAAATAGACATCGGCAATTGCACTCAGAATAGGATTCTCGTACTTTAAAATTTGTTAAATCTGGTTTACCAATCCAATTGTACAATTGATTTGGCTAGTTGAATAATTATCTTCTTATGAATCATCATGCCATTGCTTTATTGAAGCTTCTTCTATATAATATAAAAAGGTTGTTCTTGGTTGGAAAAAATAGTATTTATCTGTAATTATAAATTGTTCAATTTTCACAAATTAGATTTGGTGATACTAATCTAATTTATTCTATGTTGACTTAAAAAGTCTTACTATACTCTTGTAACTGTTACTGACATTTTTGATTAAATAATCATACTAAGTGACAAACAGATCAAAGTTAAAAAATAAAAAAGCGTTAAGATAAAATTGAAATATTAATTTAAAATATAATGTCCAAATCATCTTTTGAAAACACATTAGGATGGACAATAGATGATTGGTTATCATTCCATAAAAAGCATGATTATGAAAGTTCATTATCTTTATTAAAACAGTTATTGAGGTCTCAGAAAGTTGCCCCGATTGATTGTGCATGGATTAGTTTGGTAGATGAATCTTACTTAGAATCACAATGGTTATTACAATCTGCCAGAGATAATAGATCGCAATTGCCTTTATTAGGTGTACCAATTGCAGTAAAGGATAACATTGATGTTAAAAATTGTTTAACTACTGCTGGTTGTCCTTCTTTTGCTTATAATCCAATTTCTGATTCAACTGTTGTTAGATTGTTGAAAAATGCTGGCGCAATAATATTAGGTAAAACCAATTTAGATCAATTTGCGACTGGATTGGTAGGAACAAGATCTCCGTATGGTAAAACTCCCTGTGTTTTCAACCAAGATTATGTTTCAGGAGGCTCTTCTGCTGGTTCCGCTTCTGTTGTCGCAAGAGGAATCGTACCTTTAGCGTTGGGAACTGATACCGCTGGATCAGGAAGAGTACCAGCTGCTTTGAATAATATTATAGGGCTAAAGCCAACTAGAGGAATCGTCTCTTGTAATGGTGTTGTTCCTGCCTGTAAATCGTTAGATTGTGTTTCAATATTTTCTTTAAATTTAAAAGATGCTGAAACTTGTTTAAGAACTATCGCAAACCCTGACTATGAAAATGATGAATATTCAAGGAGTTTGCCTTCAAACCCAAAAAGAAAATTTGACCATAAACTAAATATCGCAATTCCAAAAAATATCCCAAATTTTGGTGATGATAAAAACTCATTTCTATTTGAAGACGCTGTTAACGTTTTAAAAGAAATAGATGCAAATATTGTAGAATTGGACTTTCAACCTTTGCTAGATCTTGCAGAATGTCTATACAATGGTCCATGGGTTGTGGAAAGGTACCTAGCTACAAAAGAGTTTCTAGAAAGAAATCCTCCTTTAGACTCTTTAGATCCAACTGTTCTTTCAATTATCGAATCTGCAAAGAAATTTAACGCCTGCGATGTATTCAAATCTGAATATAAAAGAAAACAGATTTTACAAAAGATCAAAAATATATTCAAAGACATCGACGTACTATGTGTCCCAACATGTCCTTTGAACCCAACATTTAAGGAAGTAGAACAAGAGCCAATTAAGGTTAATTCAATCCAGGGTACCTGGACAAACTTTGTTAATTTAGCTGATCTATCTGCTATCGCCATTCCAGCAGGTTTTAGAAATGATGGTCTTCCAAATGGTATTACTTTGATTAGCAGAAAATTTAATGATTATGCTTTACTAGAATTAGCAAATCGTTATTTAAACTATAGGACTCCTTTCAGCGTGAAAGCATTTGGTATCTTTACGGATGAACTTAAAAATAAAGATAAAAAGAAATATGAATTATATGGCCCAGAGGTCACAACCCATGACTCAATTACTGTTGCAGTAGTAGGAGCTCATTTGAAAGGATTTGCATTAAATTGGCAACTGGACAAGGTAAATGCCACATTTATAAAATCCTCCAAAACAGCTAAGAAATATGAATTATATGCCTTACCTAAAGCAGGACCTGTATTGAAGCCAGGTTTGAGACGTATTGGCAATGCAAAAGGAACAAAAATCGAACTGGAATTATATTCAATCCCTCTTGAAACATTTGGTATATTTATGTCAATGATTCCTGAACCTTTAGGTATTGGTTCCGTAGAGTTAGAGAATGGGGAATGGGTTAAATCTTTTATATGTGAAGAAATTGGCTATATTCAAGAAGGTTCCAAAAATATTTCTTCATATGGGGGGTACAAGAATTATATGACGTATTTGAAAGAAAAAGAATCTGTTAAGATTTTCAATTCGATACTAGTCGCAAATAGAGGTGAAATAGCAGTTCGTATTATAAAATCTTTAAAAAAATTAAAAATTAAATCAGTAGCTATCTATTCCGAAATTGATAAAAATTCACAACATGTTCATGATGCTGATATTGCGATTCCTTTGATTGGCTCCACAACCGCCGACACTTATTTAAATATTGAACAAATAATTAAAATTGCAAAAGAAACTTCATCTGAAGGAATCATTCCTGGTTATGGCTTTCTTTCTGAAAATGCTGAATTTTCTGATACATGCAAAGAAAATGGCATCACATTTATTGGTCCTTCAGGACAGGTTATACGAGATTTAGGTTTAAAGCATTCAGCGAGGGAATTAGCAAAGAATGCTAATGTTCCATTAGTTCCCGGTTCATCTTTAATATCAAATGTTCAAGAGGTAAAGGAAGTAGCACAAGCACTAGGCTATCCAGTTATGATTAAATCAACTGCTGGTGGTGGTGGTATTGGATTGCAGAAAGTTGAAAATGAAGAACAGATTGAGAGCATGTTTGCAACAGTTAAACATCTGGGTGAGACATATTTCGGAAATTCTGGGGTATTTCTTGAAAAATTTATTGAGAATGCAAGACATGTTGAAGTACAAATATTAGGTGATGGTAAAGGTAAAGCAATCGCGATCGGAGAACGTGATTGTTCTTTGCAAAGAAGAAATCAGAAAATAATTGAAGAAACACCTCCCCCAAATTTGCCAGAAAGCACCCTAATTAAAATGAGAAACGCAGCGGAAAGTTTAGGTGCCTTGACAAAATACTTGGGCGCTGGTACAGTAGAGTACATATATGACCAAGATAGAGATGAATTCTATTTCTTAGAGGTAAATACAAGGTTACAAGTTGAACATCCAATTACAGAAGTTGTTACCGGTTTAGATTTAGTAGAATGGATGGTAAAACTAGCCGCCGGAAATTCATTATCATTGACTCGTGATAGCATAAAAGTATCTGGGGTGTCAATAGAAGCAAGACTATATGCAGAAAATCCTGTTAAAAACTTTTTGCCTTCTCCAGGAAAATTAACTACCGTTGAATTTCCAAGCTGGACAAGGGTGGATAGTTGGGTTTCGAGTGGTAGTGTGATTTCAACGGAATATGATCCAACTTTAGCTAAAATTATTGTTCACGGAAACAATCGTTCAGATGCTATTACTAAATTAATTAATGCATTAAGTGAAACCGTTATTCAAGGTTGTATTACTAATAAAGATTATTTAATGGCTGTTTTGAAATCCGAATTTTTTAATGATGCAACAATGACAACCCATACTTTAAATTCATTTCAATATTCACCAAATGTTTTTGAAATCATTACTCCAGGTGCACACACTAGTGTCCAAGATTTTCCCGGAAGGAAATCGTATTGGAGAATTGGTGTACCGCCTTCTGGGCCTATGGATTCTTATTCTTTTAGACTGGCTAATAAGATAGTCGGAAATCATGAATCAGCTGCTGGTTTGGAAATTACATTAATCGGCCCAACCATACGATTCCATTGTAATACATTGATCGCATTAACTGGTGGTGAAGCAGATTGTCAACTAAATGGAAAAAATATCACAATGTACTCAGCAATACAGGTGAATTCTGGCGATAAATTAACAATAGGTAAAATTGTAACAGGATGCAGGATTTATTTATCAGTTAAAGATGGTATAAAAGTTCCTGAATATTTGGGTTCAAAATCAACTTTTACATTAGGAGAATTCGGAGGATACAACGGAAGAGTACTAAAAACTGGTGATTTGATCCCAATTGTATCACCTGAGGATATCGATCTTTCAAAGATTGTCTCCAATCTTCCAAAATCAATAATGCCTAATATTTCAAGAAATGGAAAATGGGAAATTGGTGTGTTATGCGGTCCCCATGGTTCTCCTGATTTTTTCGAAGAAAGCTACATTAGTGAATTTTTTAGCTCCAGTTGGAAAGTCCACTACAATTCCAATAGATTTGGTATTAAATTAATTGGCCCCAAACCGCGTTGGGTTAGAAATGATGGGGGTGAAGCTGGCTTACATCCATCAAACGCTCATGATTATGTCTATTCACTTGGTGCGATCAATTTCACTGGTGATGAACCAGTCATAATTACTTGTGACGGACCTTCTTTAGGTGGGTTCGTATGCCAAGTTGTCATACCTGAGGCTGAATTATGGAAGGTTGGTCAAGTAAAATCCGGTGATTCCATTAAATTTCACCCTATAAGTTATGAAGGCTCTCGAAAATTATTTCAGGCATTGGACTTCAAAATTAATTACCTGAAAAGTCTAGAAAATGAAATCGAATTGAATCAGGTAATTCTTTCAAAATTTGAAAACCCAATATTACGAGAAATACATTCTTCAGATCATGACAGTGTGCTATCAGTCAAATACAGGCAAGCAGGTGATAGATATATTCTGGTAGAATTTGGTGAGAATAAATTAGATTTTAATATCTCATATCATATTCACTCCATCATCAAAAATGTAGAAGAACTACAAATTAAGGGTATTGTAGAAATGTCACAAGGTGTGAGATCATTTTTGATAGAATTTGAACCAAATAGAATCTCTCAGAAGAATCTATTAGAAGTTCTAATAACAGTAGGCAATGGGGTTCCATTTACTCATGATTGGAAAATTTCATCAAAATTGATAAGACTTCCAATGGCATTTGAAGATTCAAAGACCTTGGGGTGTGTTAAAAGATATCAGGAAACAATTCGGTCATCGGCGCCATGGTTACCTAATAATGTTGACTTTGTTGCATCAGCTAATGAAATCAAAAGAGAAAATGTCTATGATATGATGTACTCAGCCCGATTTATGGTAATGGGTCTGGGTGATGTTTATCTAAGTTCACCTTGTGCAGTTCCAATCGATCCTCGTCAACGCTACTTAGGATCTAAGTATAATCCAGCTCGTACATTTACTGAAAAGGGTGTTGTTGGTTTAGGTGGTATGTATATGTGCATTTACGCTGCATCCAGTCCAGGTGGATATCAATTAGTTGGTAGAACAATTCCAATTTGGGATACATTGATGTTAGGCTCTCATTCTGCTACTCCATGGATGCTCTCTCCATTTGATCAAATAGAATTTTTTGTTGTTTCAGAAAATGAATTGGATACTTATGTTGAACAGTTCGATAGCGGTACATTTGAAATTGATGTTTCTAATATATTGTTTGATAACTCAGTTTACGAGCAGTGGTTAAAAGAGAATAAGGAATCAATAGACGCTCATGATAGTAAAGTATCAGGAGAGGAAAGAAGTAGATTAGCTACTTTGTTATCAGAAGTAAATGTCGATAAAGTTACAATTGAAGAACCTACCAAGGATGATCTTAATAAATATGATGAAAATGCTTGTCTCATATATTCTGAATACTGTGGAAGGTTTTGGAAATCATTGGTTAATGTCGGTGACATAATTAATGTCGGCGACGGCTTAATTGTTGTAGAGGCCATGAAAACGGAAATGACTGTTGAATCTCAAAAGTCTGGTATGGTTAAAGAAATTCTTCATAAAAATGGTGATATTGTCAATGAAGGAGAAATAGTTGTTGTTCTAGAACCTATCAAATAAAAGACGAGGTAAGGTAAGAATAAGAATCATACCATTTTTGATTGAGTTACATAACATATATATTTATATACTTCAAATATGTTAATTGTTTGAATATGCACAATAAATTTGTCTTATTAAAGTCTAAACTTGCGGATGAACTATGTCTAGATTTCAAAATCAGGTATCTTGTCTGCTAATCAATGGGGTGGTGCTATCTTTTGATACTCTTGGGTCAGCAGAAGATTCCCCAGAATCCAGAGTAGAAGGAGAAGTTTTCATAGAGCTCATATTATTTAGATCTAACGACGCCTTTGCAATATTTAGTCTTTTCATAATACGCTTTTTTTGCCATCTGATCGGAATATATGGAATGTATCCTTTTTTTTCTTCAATCAATAATATATGAATTACTAAGATTAAAACCAACCAATAAATATTGTAAGAGATAACAGAACCATATGTTGCACTGTTCGTCCAACCGAATATGGCAGTTAAAATCATCCAACCACCATCACGCTCACCATTACAACAATTTACATGCCATACAGATTTTGAAATATCGTACGAACCCGGACCATTACCAACTTCACTCATGTCTTGTCCACCACATTTATTTACATAATCCTGAAGCTCTAATTGCCATACCCCCTTTGAAAACAGACCTGCCGCTATTAAGTACAGGAAGCAAGTGGCCACCACTAAACAAATTTTTAGTGATAAAGAAGCAGAGTATCTAAAAAAGAAATATCCAAAAATTCCACTGGTGGTTGCAGCTGCAACCATTGAAAGTGGTATCGATGATAAAGGTTGGTCAATTCCAACACCTCCAATAAAGACTACTGCCTCTAGCCCTTCACGTAAAGCAGTGACAAAAGGTAAAATGAAGAAGGCATACTTTTCACTAAATTTAACTGTTTGGTTTTGACCAGAAGTATTCTGTTGAAGCATCCTAGCATTATCAGAGTAAATAATAGACGCCAATTTAATTCTAAATTTTTCTCTTAATTTACCCATTCTTAAAAAGAACAGACCCATTACAGAGATTATGACAGAAGCTACCAAACTTAATACACCTTCGTAATAATGTTCACTGGCACTCCATAAATCAGTACCGATATTATAGAAAATTACAATGAAACAACCACCAATAAACATACACAGTATCAAACCCAAAGCTCCACCTGATATAATCTGAGTCTTCAATTTTTTATATAACTTATGGTTGTCAACGGTTTCAAGTGAATTTTCTTCGCTGCTGGTCAGAACATCAGGATGCTCAAATATTTCTTCTTCTTCCTCCACAGTGTAAGCACGACGAATTTGACGTTCCTGATTTGAGTCCTCCAATAAGGGACGACTATTGTCTAATTCAGAGTTACTGGACCCTGTAACTACCGTTGCACCTGTATCATTCTCAATAGAAAGACCCTGTTTTACAATAGTCAACAAAATGGAAATAATAACAATAATTTCTAGAGATTCCCTAAGGAATATAAAAAAGATTTGAAATGAGAACACATCGGTAAATGCCATCGTTCCTGAATTATTAAATGAGCAATTCTAAAATATTAAAATATTCTCAAATTATAAAAGTTGAACCTACTCGTCCCTTTAAGAATGTATAAAGTACCACTCTTTCAAAACTATATCACCTTAAATATCATTGAAAGAAACATATAACCAACCCAAAATATTGATTAGAAGTACCTTTTAATGGTCTTTGTAACTTATATTAATCGATTCTTCATCTTTATGTCACCTCACCTCACCTCACCTCATTTAGAAGCTTGATTCGAATGTTTAAAATCATGTTCTTTGGACAATTTACGATATCAGGAAAGACCAAGTGTGTCACGTGCTCTCCATGAATATTTACTATGAAGAGGTTAAGGTTAATGCAAATACTGGGACAATATTGAGACATTAATGGATTAAAATATTTACATAATGGTTATATCTGTTCGTTATCTTATTTAATTTTAGGTTTGTCTCTGCCGAAAAGGGATAGTTTCTGTAAACTTCTTAAACTTTTGATATTCAGTTTGAACAGGAATATCAAGCTGAACAAACTTATAACTGTAACTAATCCAAATCCGTAATCTGTTTCTTCTATGAAATTTTCCAAATTCATACCGTAGAGGGACCCCAAAAATATCGCACCTCCTAACGATAGCATACCCATGCTAAATTTGATACCCAATAACATCAATTGGTTTCTATTCGAATCTAAGATAATGTTAATAATTTCCTCTGTTGTCTTAACGTTAGAGATTGAACTCTCTGCTTTTTGCACAATTTCATCTATATGACTGTAATACGTCTCTAAAAGCATCTCTATCTCTGTATGGTCATCTTCGACTCTTTCTTTTCCGCAATGCTTATCTGTCAAATACATTGAACATAAATCATCATCTTGCTCTAGTAAATTATCTATCATTTCTCTTACTAGTAATGCCTTTTTATGGAATATAGTTAATTTTTTATTTTGTACTAATAATAGTCTAAGTTTATTCTTGGTGATTTTGTATTCCAGATCTTGAAGAATACTTTTGCTTATTGTATTTAATACTTTCATCTCCCTCGTTAAACTTGACAATGCAGATATGAATATAGCTTCCAGAGCCCTGAATTCATAAGGTAGTTCGTCACCTTGCATCTCCAGTTGGTAATAACTAGAGAGTCTTAACTGTAAGTCACTTATCAAGTCCAACTGCGTCTTCGAATCTAATGGTAAATTTGAACCACCATTGTCGAAGATAATAACACCATCAGATTTTATTAATGCTTTGATATTTAATAAATTTACTAGGATACCATTTCTCCTGACCAATATTGTCGAAACCAAATCTAGATTCCCACTTTTCTCTATCTTTCTTAAATCTCTTGGTAATAGTGCATGTTGGATAACTAGGTCTTCTCTTTTCATATCCATGGAAGATACGATAACTCTCCCCTTCTCATCGAAAATTGTGCATCGAACGGTGCCAGTCCCATAATTATACAATGAATTATTCTTCTGAATTAAATTCTTCTGTATCAGTAGAGCCATTGTATCAGGAACTGATATTTTGGGTTTAATTTCTGAAGAGATCTGTCGAAGGTTACCACATCTGAAGGGCATTATTCTGCCACCTCGAAATGATCTAAAAGCGCTCCTAAACATGATTATAATGGTGATATACAATACCGACCAATGAACCTAACCGTACCTACGTTTCAGTAACCCAATCCTATCAAATCTAGCCTTTCTATAGCTTTAAAGCATAAGTTGCTTTTAATCATTAATTAGCTGAACTTTTTTTTTTAAGCATCGATGTTGCTAAAATGCGATGAGCTTATAAGTAATTGACTATATTAAGGCTGGATTTAATGAATGTTTAAAACTGTTTAAAATGATATCTATCTAACTGACAGTTCAGATACCTTCTTGTACGATACATAAAATATAATCTTAATATTTAAAATTATAAATTAGATTTTTTATAAGATTATAAGATCAACTATGTCAATTTATAATGATCTAAAGCTAAATAAAAGGAAAACGGAAACTATTTAATTCACAATATTTTGATTACCAGGTCTTTGATTGGGCTCCAACTGGGATCATTAAGTTAGCAGCCTTGAAATATTTCTTTGTACAGAAATAGTGTTCACGCCATGTATCGTCGACAGATGGATCACAGATACATTTATTTTGTAATCTAATTTTTTCTTCAACAGGACAGGAGAAATAGTTTGGATGGTGGAAACCCAAACCGTCGAAGAAATGAATCTCAGAACGATCCAAGATGGTAGCAGCAGCAACAGAGTGTACAGGAGCATCACCCCATCTTTCATAGAAGAAACCACCAGCTTTATCTAGATAATCGAAATAATCTCTATATGCTTTAGATCTGAAGAATTCTAAAGAACCAATTTCAAAATTAGACCAGAAATGACATCTGTTGTATGTAGTACCACCATCATCCGATATAAAGTTCATCAAATTGTTTTTATTTAAATGTTCTGGGAATTCACTGAAGAAAGATAATACGGTAGACCATAGGGTAGGAATAGTCTGTTCATAGTCAGTGACAGATAATATGAAACCGATCTTTTTATTGTTCACTCTTAAGAATTTGAAAATATCGTATTGAATATCACAATATAATGTAATATCGTGATCAACTCTCCAGAAGTAATCGTATTCATCTAATAATGGATGACGCCAGAAGAAACCAGAGTGATAACGACACATATGTCTGTATGGGATAGAGTCAGCGTACAGGACTTCTTCTTTAACTAAAAATTTCATACCTTCTCTCATTTTATCACGATCTATCCATGATGGTACAGACCATTGATCACTAGGAATTAAACCATACTTAGTATTACCTGATGTTAAAGCAGAGGTAACTCTTTTAAATTCTTCAGTAAATTCGACATCATTCAGGAAAACCCAATCATAATGATATCTATTATTGAAACGATCTTCAACATGTCTAATAGATTTAACCAATTCCCACAAGTCAGTGTTTCTCACCAAAGTAACCATAGTTGCCTTCTCTCTAACACCATCATCTTCAGGATGGACAACTTTTTGAGAAATATCAGTGAAAGGCATCACGTAGTCATCAGATCTTTTGGAAATGGAAGCATCTGAAGGTTGAAAATCGCTATATGGAGAAGCTAAATCACCTCCAAATTGACTTTCTTTCTTGTTTACTGCCCTTTCGGTGTTTACAGAATCACTATCACCATCCAAGGCATCGTTAATAGAAAAATCGATATAGTCATTAGTTATAAACAATAAAGTCAAAACTATAACAAGACCAGCAACTGCAAATCTAATTTCACGAGCATATCTTTTAAAGAAGATTGCAGGCTTAGGAATCAACTTCTTCTCTTTATCACCAGCACCCATTGTTGATGTTTATTGAAAAGTTTATTATTTCCACCAAGTACTAGATAGAAGGGATTATTCAATATACAGTTCCAATGTAGCTTATCTACCTAGTTGCCGACAAAAAAAATATCAATTAAACTCAGAATAGTTATATGATTGATATATACCCTTGCAATATAAATTGTTCATATATAAATTGAACAATTCAGTTGCTGGAATAAAAACTAACCTTCAAAAGAGTTCAAACTTCAAATTTCAATCACCATGACGTGTATAGTTTCATGAACTCGAGCATCAATATCAAATGATAATTATACCAAGAGAGAAAAAAAATATCAGAGACATAGTCAGCAACTTCTCTGATCAGAAGGAACTACTTTAACGTAAACCAAACTACGAGATACTGGAGAGAGAGACAACAAGGTAAGAAGACCCAAATAATAGAAAAAAAGAAGATGAAGTAAAGCACGATGAAGCACACAGCTAAAAATCTTGTAGTACTGAAAAATTTATCTCAACGTATCTATTTACCTCTAAGTCCCTACTAGATTTAACGTTATCATCATCACTTCTCTCTCTAGCAATCAATCAACTTAAAGAAACTTCTTCAAGATTACCTTAACTGTTGTAGATTTCGAAAGGTTTTTTTGTCTTGTTACCATTTTCATTCCTAATGCTTGATTACCTGAGAAACTCAATAGCTCTATTCTCTAAAAACAAGAGAATTTCAGGCTTTTTGAGCTTTTTCCGTTTTGGGAAATGCTGTTTTATGAGTTTTTTGTTCTTTCTTCGAGTGGTTTTGTGTAGACCTGTTTCCTGCATTTCTTTTTTCTTTATCACATTTTGTGTTACTCCAAATTCAAAGTCTCGAGCGTTCCAAAAAGAAACGTTTGTCAACGTTCGTACGGGTTGTTGTCCAGAGTAAGGTATTTTTGTGTCTTCAAAAAAAACACATTTTTGTTTTTGTGTTTGTTATTTTGTGTTTTTTTAATCATTTTTTTCTTTCTCGGAAAAACAAAAAGTAACACAGACACAGACACGCAGACATCAGCGCTCTCTCTCTCCCGGAAATCTTCGGAGCGGAAGCGGAAGCTGCATTTGAAAAACCTAGACACAGAGACACTCGTACAAGTACCAGCACAAGCACAAAAACTCAGGTTTTTAATTGAGATAACTTTAAATAGTTTCTTTTTGTTCTCATCAGTTGTATTCCCTAACTGGGATATAATACAGCGGTTAGTTCAGGGATTCAGAACAATGTATTCCATCATTGAAGTCCAATTGAACAAACTGTCCTGCAAAATTGGAAAAGCTTGTGGATGTCAAGTGTGATACGGTGTTGGGTGGTGTCCATAGAAAGTGATCATATCCCCAATCAAACATAAAGGTCAATTTATTGCCTTCTTAAACTGAAGTCCCTTCTCTGCCTGTTTCTCGCATAATAGTTCTGCGATAAGTAATATTTCCCACACCATGTTCCTACCTTCTATAACTTGGTTAAGCACCAAAACCTTCTACCTATCTCTAGGTCATGTCATATTCACTAACGGTAGTAACGTAATCTTTTGTATAGTTTTAAAATCGAACAGTGATTGTAACCAAGTATAGATGGTCCCTTAACAAACACAGATCCTTCACTAGTGGTGGATGCATCGATTCAGATTTCATAAAACTGATTCTGCTGTATACAACTTTCTATATCCTATTATTATCCTTTTTTCAATTTGCAAAAAGAATGGGAGAAAGGGCTAGAGCGTTTTTGTTCAGATATTGAAAAATTTAAAGATATCCATCTGATCTGATCTGAATATAAAAGCCGAGATGACAAATAAATGATATAATAATTAGAACCTATTGACATCAAGACAAGGACTGCTAGCTCACTATAATTTAGTTGCAAAAATGGATGAGTTGATTGCTAGAGCTTGTAATTTGGATAATGAACCACTCTCTCTAAGGACTCCACAAGAAATTTCAGAATCTTATCAAGATGGTCCAACGTTGGTTAATGATGTAAAATCACCTGAGAATCAAAAGGACTTCCATACTAAATTTATTTCAGAACATGAACAGTTTACTGAATTCAACGATGATGGTTTGAAAATGAGAATAGCCCATAATTTAGATAAGGGTGTTCAAAATTACGATGAAGTTTACTTATTTATTCACGGATTAGGGGGGAATTTCGAACAATTTGAACCTTTGTTGAGGTTGGTGGATGCTTCTGATAAGAAATTCTTAACTATGGACTTGCCAGGTTTTGGGAAATCAGATGAACTAGAAAGCTATGGAATGTTTGATATTATCGAGGTTATTAATTATGTCGCTAAGAAATTCATTAAAGATGGAAAATCGATAAATGTTATAGGCCACTCTATGGGTTGTCTGCTTTCTATACATTTCATGGAAAAGTTCTCCAAAGAACTCAATATTACTCAATTGGTCCTATTGACTCCACCAAATCCAGAAGACACAAGATTATCAAGGAGTAATTATTTGACAAGGTTTGTAATTGGGTCATTATTTAAATGGCCAGGAATATTCGATATTTATAGAAACAGATTTGATCAAAATAAGGGTTTGGAAAGTTCAGGTATTAAACAGTTCTTCTATAACAATGATGACACTGATTTAGTGAGTCGTTACAGGAAATTATGGCAATTCCATAATAACGTCCAAAATAGGAGTCGCACAGTCGTTGGATACCTATATGGTTGGGAATCCGTTGATTGGGAAAGAATAAATCAACTCAGCATCACAAATTCCCTTAAAGTTAGAGTTGTGGGAGCAAATAAAGATATTGTAACGCCAATTGAAGATGCAGAAATCATGTTGGAAGGATTTACTGCTTTCAGTGATAAAGAGTTACTCCTAATTGAAAATTCTTCGCATAATGTCTGTTTTGACGCTCCAGCACAAATATGTACTTTATTCTATAAAAATATTTTTTAGTTTTCATTCTATATAACATATATGTAATATTGTAATGGAAATAATTGGTGTTTTTTGCTATAATACAGCTTTTTCGTTAGCATATAATCGTAAAATTCGTTAAACTTTTTAAATTTCAAGTATAAAAAAAATAGTTGGAATATATAAATCATGAACAAATGGATACTTTTTTTTCTTTAAATGACATAATTGTTTTCACCGATATTCATCCTTAATTCTTCACACTGTAATTCACGGATATTGGATAATAATTCTCTGGTCAATCTATCAATCTTCTTACATGGTTTGGAAACAAATTCCTGTGTTGAAGATACACCAGTTAAAAATATACTATCTTGAGAATACAAGTAAATAGTCAATACGGTGATGCCATTTTCCTTTCTGATGTTAAATGTGGTTGGATCATCAGAACTTTCTATAATAATTTTACAATCAATCGAATTATCTTGTTGATCTTTGAGTTTACCAAATTTGATATTCAATAATTCTGAGCTATTTATAACAGTGGATTCGAAATCTGTTTTACCAAAAATTTGATCTTTCTTTATATTGAATAATGATTCTAGAGCCAAGTTATCTTTTTGCAAAATTTCATCCATAATTAGTAAAGCTACCAAATCAAATAAATTACCTGAACTTGCCCATGGAACACGTCTGTTCAAACCTGACTTGGTAAAACTTAGATCAATTGCTCTGTTTATGTTCTTTTGATACAATGATAATACAAAATTTTTAATCATATATTCCCTACACCAGATAACCCCATTCATAATAATATTTTTCAGGGTAAATGACATGTTGTTGTCATCGATGAACATTAATTCATTAAATATTTCAGAGGGATTTATTTGTTTTAATTCAACACTTCTCTGTCTTTTTACTTCATTTACCTTTGTAGTTTGAATATAATTATCACTAGGTGATAAATTCATAGAGTCAAACAATGTACTTGATCTTGATCTTTTCTTGGTATCTTTCATATCGATATAATCATAATTTTTACTAGAGTCAGTTAAGAACATTACATCTAGCGTATAGTCCGATCTTGTAGCAATAACAGATTCATCCAGAGAAGGCAAAATTTCAAATTGCTCCTTTTGATAATTCCTAATATTATTTAACTGATTGGATTTTGAGACTAACATACCAATTGATTGTTGACTGCTTTTATCATGATTGATAACATGGAAATCATTACAAATGACCAAATTGGAAAAATTAACTTCCACTAAGTTTGGACATAATTTCAACATATGAAGCACATATCCTAATGGCAAATCACGATAAGAACAATACTTCAGTAGGAATTTGTTGGCATATGGATGTTTCCTCTTGTACTTTTTCTTTTCCTCATTTGGATTATGAACAGTAACTTCATTAAAAGATTTGGCTCCATCAACATCTTTAATTTCTTTATCCTCACTTTCCTTCACCTGAACCTCTTCAGCTCCTGAGTTATTAACTTCGGATTTATTCAAAATAGTACTGTGATTGATCTTACCAACATTATGTTTGGAGTTCTTAAACTTTAATCTGTTTAACCATTGACTTTTTCTTATTGAATTACTATTACTTGAGGAATTAAGATTACTTGGAACTTTTTTGATTGATTCATTACTAGATCCTACAATTGAACTTGAATTTGTCATTGTACTAGTTATAGTATTAGTCAAAGTTGACATTATACTATTTGTGATTGAACTAGTAGAACTGTTCGAACGCAGCCTATTCGAACTAAAAACCGAAGAGTTTGTTGATGAAGAGCTATTATTATTCCCAATTGAAGAATTCGAGAGTGTTGCAATAGAATTTGAAGAAGAATGAGAGCTTACCTTTTTCCAATTCAAACTGTTCAGCAGAGGAGAGCTGTATAATGGATCATATCTATACCTCCAATCTCTCCATGTAGCAAGTGCTACTTGCTTTTGAACTGTAATTGTTTCACTATTTGAAGTGTTTTCCTCAGGGATATTATTGATTGGCGGTATCTCTGTATTTGTAACTGCGTTATCCACTTGTGGATTACCTTCTTGTTGAGAAGTATTGGCATTGCTATTCTCATTTGAATTTTTATTATCGGTAAATGGCAATAGGCCATTTTTCAATTTAGATAAATCCAAATTTCTGACTAAAAGACCATTATCAGGATACAGTCTCAAGGAAGTAACAAATTGAGCTGCTCTATAAGTTGACGTTAAATAGGGACTTGCATATAGTAAAGTTTTGGTGGCCAAGTAGAATTTCTTATTAACGTAAAGACAATAGTATAAAAATTCGTTGTAATTCTCTTTTTGATTATCAGCAGATTCATCATCGTTTAAATTTGATAAAATTAATACCAATAATTCTAAAGGCAAGTCATCTATTTTTTTATAAACCTCATCACTCTTACTTCTCTTGATAATTCCATCTTCTTTTTTGAGAGTTGCATGTTTCTTCTTTTTCTTATTCTTCAATTTCTTCGAAGAAGAATTAATTAGAGATCTATACTTTTGTTTAATTTTAGAAGCAGTGGATACAATGGTCGCATTATCATTCCAAATATGATTATTATTATTGCTATAAGTACCACCACTATTATAATTCATTGAACTATCGTATTCATTTTGATAACTGCTAGAACGTGAATTTTCTCCTCCATACAATTGTTGATAAACAGAAACACCATATCTTGCATAATTTGTGTTCACGATATTAACAGATTCCATTTCTCTAGAGATATCCACAATCTAAATCAAATCTTTAGGATATCAGCAGTCAAATGATAATATATGAATTAGAGACGTTTCCACTAGTATGATATGTGGACAGGAATAGTTCACCTAATGTATATTCTATAAAAAAAGAAGTTTAGATTCCTAAAAGTACCAGTAACAAATAAATGACCTCTATAAATATTTAATTATCGAATCTCTAATTGATTAATTGATTAATTGATTAATTAATTAATTAAATATTTTATTTTTCTTAACCTTTTCGATCTTGAGCTTTTCCCCAGACTTTTTATCTTTTGATCTCTGCCTGCTACGGAAATACATCCAAACAATAATACGATATTTGAATTAAAGACAAACTTATTTATTTATATACGTTTCAGTTTCAGCAGATTAAAATGAATAAGACTATATACAGTTTTTGGAAGACCTGTTATGAAATGTTGATCGATCCTAAACTTAATAAAATTCATTCCTTGCAGGATTCCCTCTTGATGAGCTGTGAAGAAACGTCTGAAGAAAGGAACAACCCAAACTATAACACCAATTGCAATAATAGGCGTTTCTATCAATATTTTGATCTGATATAAACACTTCACTAGAACAAATCGCTATTAATAAGTTGCACAGTTCGAAATGCTCTATCTTGAACTGTAACAAGTTTCACTTTTCTTGTTACAGGGAAGGATACACTTGTTACATTGAATTCGAAAGATTATTACCATAATAAGCCAGTTTTAAGCTTTTGGTTGGGTATAATCCTTTGATGGTCAAGAAACAGTAAGAGAGAGAGAGTATCGGATAATCTTATTAAAGCAACAGGGCAAAAGCAACTGATTTTAGTTTTTATTTGCTGCATTTATTTCTTCTTGTTCTTTGCAGGATTATTTCTATAATTAGAAAACAGCTTCTTGTTGCAGGAAGTTGTTCTTCCGATAGGATTAAATAGTAGCATATGCTTAGAAGTTAGTAATATTTAATCCAGAAACATTGATGGTTAGTGACGGTTACGGTTTTTCCTCAGTTGAAGAGTAGGATTGTAGGTGGGGGGGTCAAAGAAGGTGGGGGTAGGTAGGTCTAGTTTTGGTAAATAGCAGTAGTCTACTTTGCTTGTTGCAGTTGAACTTTTTATCCGAAATCCTGGGGGGGTTCGGTCGTAATGCTGGTGGGGGAAGGGGATAGGTGAAGGATAGGTTACGTTGCAGAGTGAGCATACCACCAATGTCTGTTTTAATTGCTGCGTGAACCTTTTGGTGCCTTTGCTGGAATAAATGTGAATTTCGGTTTGGGATTTGGGTCAATGTGTCTGTGACAATTTTCAGCTGAATTGTTAGACGAGAAAGACAAGATGCTACATGTAAGACCAGTGGAATGGGTCGTAGCAGTTGAATGAATAATTCGTGGAGGTCACTAAAGTATCACAGTAAAACTATAACTTTGGTTTGGGCTCAGCGATTTCGAATTGCTTTGATCGTGAAGAACATTTCCATAAGAAATGTCCTGCAGAGTTCTCTTGGAGTTCTCGCATTTCTTTTTGCGTTTCTTTTTTTTCTAGTAAGCGTATATACCTTATACTTGCCAACAATTGAGATAAAGTACTGAATGATTGGTAGACTTTTCGAACCAGTTCGCTGGATTCACTTCCAAATATGGGAAAAAAAAGGTTTATTATAGGCTTTGATTTGTGCTAAAGTCACCGCGATAATACCCTAATTGCAATAATATGTTACGTGTAATGGGTGCATTGCCCGTGGAATGCAAATTCCCAGCATCTTTAGATGGGATTCCGTTTTATTTAGTGAACTACTTTTAGTTTTCGAGGAATTCGACATTGAAATACTTTTCAATGTTCGTGTTTGTTGGTGCTATGTAACAAATACCATTTATCAGCAGCTATACCTTTTCTTTTTTTATTTTATTTTTTATTATAAATATACACGTGACTTCTGGAACAACTGAAAACGGTAAAATAAAAAAATGAGTCTACTTCGTACTGGCTAATACACTCACACGATTTGATTGATGAGCACAGACGGTATGAGTAATGTTTTTATCAGAGTCTTATTGAACATAACAGATGCAATCATATAAGATTAAGAAATTAAATTTTTTTATAGGAGATCCAAACAAAATGTATGGATTCTCTTAAGTTCTATCTTTCCAATTAACATATCGATTTGACAATATTTGTTTGAGAGCAATGTATCAACTTGAAGAACAAAAACAGAAAGCAGGTGAGAGGAAACTAGTCCATCTAAGGAAATACAATTAGATTAAAATACCAAATTACTGTCGCAGTTCATCTTGTACTGATCCAGGTATATATAATTTTATTTGTCCCAGACACTAAATTGACAAGTTACCCTCACATACCCTGACTTTAGACGAGAAAATGTCCTTTTTTGTCTTAATTACTAAAGAAGCAACGTACGCCTTATATGGTTCCTCAAAACAAGATGTGCTCATCGGCTATTAAATTGGTAAGCGGAAAAATTCGGATAAATAGAAGAGATGAAATATAACATGAGACAAAACAATAAAAAGGAAATTAACAGCTTTTTTTTGCTTTTTATCGAAAGGTTAAACTTAATCGTCCTCTGAGTATCCTGTACAACCCGGATCAACGCTATCAGACGTATTTTATCGTTGCTGTGTTTTTCCTAATCCAGTCAATTATCATTTCTTTTTCTTCTTCTTAGCTGAATTTAAATTTTCCGAAAACTTAATATTCAAGATTCGAAACTATCTAAAGGTTTAAGCATTGCTGCTATCCAAACACGATAATGATTGAAACCTGAACTCTCTCTTTTTAGATTAAAGGTTGAATGTGGAGAAGCTTGATTATTTTATCAAAAATGCAAATTGAAGCTTACCTTTATCAAAAGCTAACGCATATCTGAGAAGAAAGAAGGAAATCAAACATTAATTTTTGTAGCCTTTTCTAAGCATAAGTTGCAAAAAGCATATTGTAGTAGTAGTAGCTGGCAAAAGAATATAAATACCAAGGATAATGACAATTTCTAAACCCCAAACCTGGAAAGAAATAGGAGACATCATTGCTAGTGGTGATTTAGGGAAGTTGGCTAGAACTCAAGAGAGTACCGATAAATACAGAGAGTTCAAAAGATATATTCTTGAAGAATTACATTCAAATTTGACAGATGTTCTATTGTCAAAATTAGGATGGACTTTATCAGATCTAAAATATTGTAATGATGTTATGTACAGTTCTGATGCTGACAAGATTAAAGTTGCATTCTCGCATAAATCTCTATATGAACTAACTGTGAATGACTTCCCATACAATTTTGAACAAAAC